GGATCTAAACTGAGCAGCTCCTGAGAGGGTGGGGAGGAAGGAAGGAATGAAGGGCAGGTCTTACAGGCTGTATCCCTCAGTGCTTTTAGGGAGTGCTCTGATTTGGACAGGATGGGGTTCTGTTCATTTTCTTCATGCCTGGAAAATGTGCCTATCTCTGCCTCCTGTGACTCCCTTTGGGAGCAGCAGACCCCCAAATCTGGGGAGGTCTGACAAAAAAACCCAGCTGGCTCCTGGGTCAGTCAGCTGATTGTTCCACTGTGACATCACACTTTCCTTCTTCACTTCTATAAGCCCAGTGATTGTTGGCATTAGGCCTGAGCAAGCTTACTAGATGATTTTTAAGGTCCCTTCCAACCAACCTGTAATAGAAGGGTTAACTTTGTTCATCAAATCTTATGTGTATGAGGGAATAAGGAACTTATTGTTATAATTCAATAAGTTTCATGGACATCCTGTTAAGTAAGTGTCAGTAAAAATAATTGCAGACATCTTGCTTAACAAACAAGTATCAGTATTGGTAAAATTTACAGCTGATAAGAATTGCAGCTTTCATCTTTGACAAATCCCAGATGACCACTTAGTAACGAGCCATGAACTCAAGCCTCAACGCAGCTGCATTCAAAACTCGGGACTTGGAAATTTATAAAAAGGAACATTTACTACATTTTCAGTGTGTGTCTCGGGTGGGGCAACTGCCCCCCAGGCCACCCAGCGCTGTTTGCTTTATTATCGCTTGCTTAATAAATTTATCAATGTTTAATTGGAATTGAGTTGTCTAAATTCTTATACTAACTTATAACAAACCCACTCTATGATTCAACTCTTTAGGCTGCTAAAATAATGAGGCTTAGAGAAAGACCACTGGAGATGGCAAGGGCAGCCAGGAGCCTTTGTTCCCCACATCTGAGACCATTGTCTCTTCAGTGACCAGAAGTGGATTTTAAGCAGTTCATAGTCAGTAGATCAATCTTCGCCCAGCCAGCAGAAAGGCAAAGCTGAGGTCCCTGCAGTGCTGGGGGTGATGTATGTGGAGAATGAGCTGTGAGGCACCTATTGCTCATCTCCAAAGGTATTGAGCCCTGCTATTCCTTGTCAGAAAGCTGATGAGTGGATTGTCTGAGAAGAAAACCCTTTTGGGAAAGTGTGGTTTGCTTCTCTTTACCTGGAGTATCTGGCCTAAGTGTTTGGAAAAGCCTGTTCGCTGCAGTCCACCTGTAAGAAATAGAATCCTGTGTTGCTTTTATTTTAGGCAAGGAGAGATGAGAGCAAAACAGCTGTTTGTAAGAGGCTTGCTGGTTGCGTCTGCTCTTAACATGCTGTCAAGGTTTTAACCCCAGCCAGCAACTAAGGAGCAGAGAGCCATTTGCTCACTCCCCTACCAGCAGGACTGGGAGAGAGCCAGAGAAGCTGAAGTGAAAAAACTTGTCGTTTGAAACAAACATCGTTCAGTAAGTAAATCAAAAACCACGCACCCAAGCAAAGCAAAACAAGGAGTTAATTCATTAGTTTTTTCCATGCCTATTTTTTAATGTTTGAAATAACAAAGCCAGGACTTCCGGTCATGTTTTGTAGATTCCCCTGTTATTACATTTAAATGAAGTAATTGTTTTTAACGC